CGTACCGTACTGTACGTTATCTACCTGCTAAACTTACTGGTACAGTATGTATTTTTACGAGCCTGCAGTCCTTAAACAAGACAGAGCAATGCTACTGGGACTACAAGCCGGCCGTTGAAGTATGGGGGTTAATTAAATTTAATTAATTAATTAATTAAATTTAATTAATCATTTTATAAAATTTTATAAAATGATTAATTAAATTTAATTAATCGATTAATTAAATTTAATTAATTAATTAATTAAAATGACTTCGCCGATAATAAAATTTGGTTTTAGGGGTTCCCCCCCTTAAGTAAATTACACGGGATTACAACAGAATGACCCATATTGAATAATRGCCGTTATTTTAACAAAAAACCGTTAAAAACGCGCGGTATCGTGCGAAATTTGAAAAAAACAGTCCCTTCGGTAGCTCTCCCGTAGGTATCTTACTTTGTAGTAGTAGTACTTGACTTCGATAGACTGTTCGAAAAACAGACGACTGACAGACACTGGATGATAGCGAGAGCCACAAAAATTGCCAAAAATGATGATAAACGAGTCCGACTACCGGTAGGGCATTGTACTTGTACCAGTAGTTTCGTAAAAGAAAAAGGAGTATGCGAGTCGAATTTTGATGCCGAGAAAGAACGAGAATGTACGTACCGTACAGTAGTACGGCAAGGCATAAAAGGATCGAAAAAGCGTTTTCTTTTCGACGACAGAAACTCACGACTAAGTGCTGCAGACTGCTCCTCGACTGCCCTCCTTTACCAAAAAAATACCACAAGGAGTTCAACAGAGTGAAACAGGAGCAATAGATTATCAAATCTTGTTCATCACCGGAAGCATAGATCGATATAGTACTGACGAAAAATGGTGAAGCACGGAAGAAACAAGAAACGAAGAGCAGGAAGAATCGGAAAAACAAAAATAAAGAATTCAGGAAACTTCAAGCGATGGGACCCAGATCTTCATAAGAAAATTAAAAATCCTACTGTTCGTGAACACTGGGATCCATCGAAATCTTTCACGGCGAATCTCGCTGCTATTGGACTCGTCGGAAACCCGAACAGCGATGTAAGGAATACGAATCCGCTTCAAAAACCGAAAGCCGTGACAGATGTTAGCGCAATCGAACTTTTCGATATCCCAGATTCGGATGAATTGGCAGAACAGAAAGAGAAACGGTGTCCAATCAACGAAGAGGATCAAAAGTACATAGCAAAGTGCATGTCGAAATACGGAGTCGACTACGGCAGAGCATTTCGTGATATCAAGATAAACTACATGCAACATACTGAAAACCAGTTACGAAAACTAGGAGCAAGATTTTTACTTCTATCTTCTGATCAAAGGATAGTGGATGTTCCAGAAAAGGTCAAATCACTTGTCTCTACAGATGGCGCATGAAATTCATTGATCAATCGTTTTGGGTGCCGAAAACAACACAGCAGGATACAAAAATTTTGGAGCAACAAATATTCGAAGATGCAATAAGTTTTTGATACCCAGGCATATTCAACACGAAAGTCTCAGTATCCCAATTTTCTTCTCGATATGGACATGGATCTACGAGAGAATCAACAATCATTCCCTGCCTTTAAAAAATTTGATGGTTCTCAATAGAACTGCTATGAAGAATTTCTTGACATTGATTTCAATTTGTACAGCTTAACAACGAAATATAATCAGGGTGTTATGCAAATTTATTTCTGGACTGCTCTATATTGTACTATGATATCCCCCTTTGAAGTGACAGTAGTATAAGAATAGAAATTTATTTTTCATTAGAAATACAGGTATTTTAAACTGCTTATACTAGGCTAAAACTTGCACAAAGAAGGGATTGATATTTAACACACATTGGAGAGTTACAGGAAGATTAGTAGTACTACTAGTTGTTAACAAGCTTCTGGAACTTGAATAGTCTGAATTACCATGCGATCAGTATCCCCACGAAAGAATGAACTTTCAGTACAATAAATTCATGCTCCATTTCTTCTTGCTGTCAGACATTCTTCATAACATGTACTAAATGGATACAAGTTCTGAGTTCTTGCAACTAGTATATCATAGTAGGTGTTGCTGAGCAAACATCCTCAGTTTGGTGAACACTTACCAGTGTCAACACCTGTAGTATTGGCAATTCCACCAGCAACTTGTAGTATTGCTAGTAGTATTCCCAAGAATGGTGTCACTTGTATCACCATCACCATCAAAAGTAGCAGCAGCACTTGCATTGACACAATCACAACATTGCACAGCACAGGGCTGTATCACTAGTACCAACAGTGTCATCATTCTTATCAGTAGCACTTGTGTCAGTACATCTTGTATTAGCTATCTTGAGGCCCCAAAGTAGGGCAGAGGAATTGAAGAGGGGATATGCTGTAGTACTGGTGGTGGGTCCTAGATGCTGGCCCTACTAGGGTTCTTCATTCTTCGCTGGTGCTGGTGGACACAGCCTGTTGTTCTCTTAACTTTTGAAGCCCATAAGGCCAATTGAAAAGCAAAGTGGTGAAAGTCAGCATTGAATGATGCTGTCATTGTAGTAGGAGATGGGGGATAGTCACACAAAAATTTTATCCCGCTATCTGATGTCATGAACTCAAATTTTTATTATTTAGAATCATACTACTAGTACTACTAGTACTGCATTCTTCTTCTTGTTATTGTTCCAGCATAAATTGAGGGAAAGCACAACATCATGGGACAGAACAAAACAATTCATTTCCACAACATCAAAAACCTGCAAACACCATGCATAATGCACCATTATTTAGAACTATTTTATGATTGCAGGAATCAATCAAGAATACTACTACGATGTCTCTGTCACACAACATTGTCAACAGTACAAGCATCCAAAATGGTGCAGTACTACTGGGCCATTCCAGTTATTATAGAATTGCTAAACTGCTGGATTTAGCACATTTAGCATTTTCAAAATAACAAAGGGAATAAAAATTTCAACAGATAGACTGAGAGGAAGGCCTGCTCTTTTTGGGAATCTGGAATCTTAAATATTGCTGTTCAAGAAGGTAAAGACTGTCGAGACCAAAAATAGGCGCACATGCCACTTGGTATTCATGAGTTCAGTCATTGATTTTTTTACATTTAGAATGGCAAGTTTGACCAGTTCCAAAAGTAATAAAATTTGTAATAGATGTGCTAGTAAATTTTTGGTGTGTCAGTCTATCAAAAGTTGCAATGCAATTGTATTAACGGGAAAGGCCATTGACTCTTGTCTTTGAGTCTCTCCGCAGGGACGTGAGGTATTTACGATTTTACCTACTCAAGCCACCATGTACTAGTCCCGCAAGAGGAATCATGTGGCCGCTAGCTGTTTGAACAGTCCTGTCACCTTAAGATTTATAGTCATACTTAAGGGGGGGCTGGGAACTTTGAAAAAATTTCTGGTAGCGTAGCATATACTATGGTAGCATTTATGCTGGTCACAATATGGTAGCATTTCTAGTCACATTCTTGCAGGTAGCATGGTAATCATTATTGTATTATGGTAACGTTTATTTTTAACAATAGTGGTGTTGCTTAATACAAAAGGGTATGCGGGGACTCTCCTCATAATAGTAGAATTTTTTTCTGGTAGGAGAACTCCACCACCATATTTCTTGGACAAAAAATTCTACCAGAATTTCTACCATATGGTAGCATTTCTAGTCGCCATCTGGTAGCACTAATTGTCAAAATCTGGTAGCATGTTTTTCCTACCAGAATTTTTTTCATAAATCTTAATTTCTTGCAGCCCCCTCTCAAATTAGCGCCAGCAAGCTGTAGTCCCATGACCACAGTATTGCCTGGTATTATGCCTGGGACGATCATCATTGACTATTTTACCACGCCGGGCACGCTACCAGGCAATAGTCTGGCAATAAGAATGGTAACTTGCTGGCGACTGAAACTTTTGGAGGGGGCTAGGAGAATCTAATTATTATAGAAAATATTTATGGTAAAAT